TCCTTTGTGTTTCAGATAAGGAAGCTGATGGTCAAGTGATTTGTTGAAGGTTAGAAAGGTTTGGCAATTCCACAATTAAAATCCCCATCTCCTTGGGGCTGGAAAGGTGGCTCAGTGGTTAAGACCATACTCTGCTCTGTAGAGGACTCTAGATTGGTTCTCAGCACCAGAGTCAGGTTACTCACAACTGCCTGTAATTCCAACTCTGGGACATATGCCCTCTTCTGGCCTCCTCTGCAGTCACATGTACATAATTGTACCCCAATACATATACATCTCATTAAAAAATAATAAAAATAAATCATAAAAAACAAAACCAGACCAGAATTCCCATCCCCACATTTCCAGACGTTTCTTTTGTTTGTTTGTTTTTTTCCCTTAAACCTTATACTATGGCTGGGTGGTGGTGGTGCACACTTTAAATTCCAGCACTCGGGAGGCAGAGGCAGGTGGATCTCTGTGAGTTCGAGGCCAGCCTGGTCTACAGAGCAAGTTCCAGGACAGGTATCAAAACTACACAGAGAAACTTTGTCTCGAAAAACCAAACCAAACCAAACAAACCTCACCCCCCCCTACCCCCCAAAACCACCTTATACTATAGTATACCTTTGTTTGTTTTGAGACATGGTCTGACTTTGTAGCTCTGGCTGGCCTGGAATTCACTATGTAGACTAGGTAACCTTGAACTCACAGAGATCCACTTACCTCTGCCTCCTGTGGTAAATCGTTTTATTCAGGGACACAAGTTGTAAGATGTTTTCTCTTGTGAGGAAGATAAAAATTGCTTTAAAAATATGATCTTTTCAACATTTTGTATCATGTGGGAACATCCCTGTGGTGACAACTGGGCCACTCAAACAAAGCCCCAAAGTGGTTTTTGTTTTGTTTTTTTTTTACTTTTAATTATCATGAAATTGTGACCAAGCAATTAAGAAAATCATAGATTTTTTTTATTATTCCTGTCTTTAAAAAATTCATGTACATGAAAAGATGAGACAGTTACAAAATAAACCCAGCTCCTCTCAAAATAAGGATAGTTGTGTTCTTAAAAATATAGAATTTTTTAAAAGAGCAGGGATGCTTTTCTTTTTTTTTTTTTTTTTTTTTTTTTGGTTTTTCGAGACAGGGTTTCTCTGTGTAGCTTTGCGCCTTTCCTGGATCTCGCGCTGTAGCCCAGGCTGGCCTCGAACTCACAGAGATCCGCCTGCCTCTGCCTCCCGAGTGCTGGGATTAAAGGCGTGCGCCACCACCGCCCGGCTGCTTTTCATTTTTAAGCCATTTTAAGATGACAAAGTACTGGGGATTTAGCTTGGTGATAGAGTGTTTGTCTAGCATTCATGAGGTCCTGTTTGATCCTCATTTACCACACTTAATGCATCGATATGCATATACATACGTAACAGTCACAATCATAAATAAAATTACTATTACAGAGCTAGGCATAGTGCCATAGACCTATAATCCCAGTACTTGGGATGCTGAGGCAAGAGGATTGTGAATATAAGGCCAGCTTGAGATATACAGTGAGATTCTATCGCAAATAAAAAAAAACGATCTGCACCCCTGTAGTACACATATAATGTGTAGCAGACACTCATACACGTAATTAAGTAAATCTTTAAAAACTAAAAGTAAAATAATTTACAAAAACATTAAATGACTATCAAACCAGTATGTAAATGGGCCTGGTAGTGTAGTGCATGCTTATAATCTCAGGATTTGGGGAGTGGTAGCAGGATTCTGAGTTTAAAGCCAGCCAGCCTGGGCTACCATGGTGAGTTCTAGGACAGCTGGAAGTAGGTACAAAGTGGAAACTCCATCTCAGAAAACAAAACAAAACCAAAAATTTGCAAAACAAAACCCTCTTGGGCCATTGAGATGGTTCAGTGGGTAAAGGTGCTGGCAACCAAATCTGACAACCTAGAACCAATTCCCAGGACTCCTAAGGTAGGAGACAACTAACTCTTGAAAGATGTCCTTTGATTTCCATGGGCACACCGTGGGATGTGTGGGACAACCCATAAATAAATATAAAAAACAAGCCGGGCGGTGGTGGCACACGCCTTTAATCCTAGCACTCGGGAGGCAGAGCCCGGCGGAGCTCTGTGAGTTCGAGGCCAGCCTGGGCTACAGAGTGAGTTCCAGGAAAGGCGCAAAGCTACACAGAGAAACCCTGTCTTGAAAAAACCAAAAAAGAAAGAAAGAAACAAAAAACCAAAATAACAATAAACAAAAACCAATAGGTGTTAGAAAATTTATAAACTGTATAATATATATATATTAAAATCTTCATGTAAGTTTTCTTTCCATGGAAAACCAATGGTGGTATTTAGGTGTGTTATTCCCAGTCTTTTTCTGTGTATATATGTTATTCATTAAAAAAACTCCAGATTATATTCTGTATCTTTGTTTATATTTTTCATTTTACACTATGCCTTTGAGCATTTTCTTATTTCTTTGAAAAAAATCTGTGGAAACATTTCATAATAGCTCTATAATCTGTTATTGAAATATTACCTAAGTACACATTATATTTTTGGTATTCTTAATGCTGAAGTTTGTATTGATATAAAATATTTGTTTATATTGGTCTACTTTTTAATAAATAGCTTCAAAAATGAAATTTCTGATACACATTGCCAAAGACTTTCTAGAAATATGCTCATTTATCATCCCACTAAAAATATTCTGGAGCGCTTTTTAATTTTATTGTACTCCTAAAAACAGACTGGCTGCGTTTTAAGAACATTACTATTATTTCCGGGCCTGGAGCATCTGTTGAAAAGATTAGTAGGTGGGTCCACATCTTTGTTCTGCTATCTAGAGTCAGTCAGCTCCTTGGGGTTAGCTGTCTGTTTGCTGTTATAGCAGCCTCCTAACACAAGATTAGATAAAGTAGACAGAAGAGCAGTTGGGAGGAGTTGAGACTGAACCTAGTGTACACATGCTCTGCCATCTAGCTCACTCCTCAGCCTCCATACTTCTTCTTTGTCTTTATCCAGTGACTCTGAAAAAACAACCACATCTGAGTCAAGTTTGTTGAAGTAATATTTTTGTGTTTAAATTTCTGAAGGTACTAGTATCTCTAAATATATTTTTCTGAGCCTCAAGAGAAATCACAGTGCTTCAGTTTTAACACTAAAATTAAGTACATTGTTTTTTCTTGGTTCCTTCAATCACAGTTTCAAAAATGACGTGTGTGTGTGTGTGTGTGTGTGTGAGAGAGAGAGAGAGAGAGAGAGAGAGAGAGAGAGAGAGAGAGAGAGAGAGAGAGAATGTATGCCACATATGTGCAGGTGCCCCGGTAGTCCAGATTCCCTGGAGCTGGCTGGAGTGGTTGTGAGCTACCTGATATGGGTGTTGGGATCTGAACACAGGCCCTGGAAGAACAGCAAGTGCCCTTTTCACTGAGACATCTCTTCAGCCCCCAAAGCACACACTATCACACCCCTCTATACCTCCCCCGTTTGGTTTTATGGGTTTTTTTTTGAAGCCCAAGGACAGTTTATTAGAGTTCAAGAGGAAAACCTCAAGGTAGGCAAGTTGTAAATCTTTAAACTGGAAAGGAGAAGAATGGAGAAGCCTAGCAGAAAGTCCTGCTGCTTGAGATAAGGCGATCTGAAGGTCAGCCACCTGGCAGCAAGCACCCACTTAAAAATTAAAAAAAAAATTTGTTGGGGTGGAGACGTTCTCTATGGTATATATCTGGAGGCCAGAGGATGGACATCGAGTCTTGCCTCCATCAAATGGGTCCTGGGACTTGAACTCAGGTCCTAAGTTTGGTAGCAGACTTTACCGGCAGAGCCACATTCCTCCCTTCCCCTCTGCTCCTTCAGGAAAGTGGGCCCTGGAGACTGAACTCAGGTCCTTCTACTTTCAAGACAAACACTTTACAGCTGAGCTGCTCCTTCTGCCCATCCCCTCCCCATCAGCCACATTTTAATGCCTGATGGTGTTGGACTCCTTCCTGATATATCTCAAACCGATAAAATTGAGCACTATTGTATGTGCTCAGTAAATGAGTGCCGCCCTATGTTGTCCTCTGCTAACATAAATATTATTACACAGAGAATAAAGAAGGAATAAACAAAGGCTATTTGGGGGCATAAAGCATTTACCGATACCACTCCCTCTCCGTTTCCCCGCAGCTTTTATTAGTTCATTATCGGTTTCTTAACTCACCATAGCTCATTAACATCATTTTCTTGTAGCATTTTAAATGCTTGTTTTACAGCTCCTGTACTGAGGAAAGCGAGGTAATCAGACGTGCTTGACAAATAGGGCGTTGGGTAATTTGGATCACAGGGTGTAAAACTTTAGTGCATACCTGGATCACCTGGGTACACGCTAAAAATACCGGATGTCGGGGACCTCACTCACCTAGATTCTGATTCACAGTTTAGTGAACCCTGAATACATTTATATTAGATAAGCTGCCTTAAGTGTTTCTGAAGTTCAAGAACATTTGGGATCTGCAACTGACTCCCCGAGGCTGCAGCGTGGAGGAATTCAGCGCGTCTTGCAGCTGTTGCCACGCTTTTAGTTTCCCCCCCGCTGAGGTTTCCCAGGCGGCTGCTTTTCGTCTGCAGATGAGGTTTTGCAGGCTGTTAAACCACGTCCACAATTTGTCCTGACAGCGTCCCTTTCCCCAGAGCTGTTAAAGGGACCTGAGCTCGCCGAGGTAGAGCGTGCCCATGTGACTACGAACCCGGTTGCCAGCGGCGCGGCCATTTTTGAGGCGGGCACTCAACCTTGTTGCCCTGTGGGGCCGGGAGGGCAACGGGGAGGTGGTTACCAGGACTCAAGATGGCCACCGTGCCCGCTAGCCAGCCCTCTGGCAGGTCAGCTAGCCGGCGTGGCGGCGAGCCTGACCGAGCCGCGCGGGCGGCGAGCCTCGGCGCTCAGGGCTGGGGGCGGGGCTGCAGCGGCCTGGCGGGGGCGGGGCGTCCGCCCTCCTCTGGCTGCAGCCAATGGGCGTGCGGGGCCAGCTCGCCCCGGGCCGCCCGCGCGCGGGGTGTGTGAGGACGCGCTCTCGGTCGCTGAGTGCCAGAGCTAGGGAGCAGCAGTTGCTGTGGTACCTGCTGCTACCAGGGTGGACGCTGAGCATCGGACGCGGGGCGCTGCGCTGCGGGACGGGAAGGTGAAGTCATGACGTCCTCCAGGTAAGCGGAGGGCGGCCGCTACAGCTGTGTCCCGGCTGGGCGTGAGCTCACTGCTCCCGGGAGAACTATCTTCCCTTCCCTTGGATGGTCTGGAGCTACCCTTTGCCGCCGGCCCCCGTCACGTTGGATGTTCCCCTCACACTTAACCAATCAGGGCATTTCTGGTGTCCTCCGAAGTTTTTGGGTCTGTGGCATAAGGCGCTGCCCTATTTGTCGCCGCTTGCTTGAGGTGACCCTTGCTCAGATTCCAGGGTCTGAGGCTTGTTTGTGTATGTGTGTAATGGATTTCTCATGAAAATGTCGCTACCTCCCGCCCTCATCGACCCACCCCGGGATGACCCTGGCCCCAGGGGAATGTGCCATGCACAGTGTGTGCCCATGCCTGTGTGTCATGCCTTCTGACAGAACTTCATGGTTGGCCATGAGCAGATCTGCAAAGTTGGCACTTCTCATGTAGATTGTTCCTAAGTTGTGAAATTATGTGTCCCTAAAATATTTGCCTATGACTGGAATTAGTACTTTGGTTCTTGAAGGTACCATATGTTTACCTACTTTTATCTGAGCGTCACGAGTTGAAATTAATTTTGTGAGATGTAGAAATATAATGAAAGCAGACTCACCCAATCACAGATCCAGGATTTTGACGGTTCCTTATTTTTTTTTTTTTTTGGCAATGGTGATACCTAAGTTGCCTTGCCCACTTTATTTAGCTTCTACTGAATGTTTATGTAAATTTGACTATTTATAAAAAAGATAACTTTCCTCATTTACCCAGTGTTTTGGAATGCCTTTTTAAAAGTAGATCTTGGCCTTTATTTTCCAAAAGAAAGGGAGCCCCCCCCCCCCCCCCCCCCCCCCCCCCGCTCAAATTTAAAGAGAAGTAAAGTTGTGGCTATTAGCTTTAAAGGACCTAAGCCCTGGTAATTTAGTGGCTTTTTGGTGGTGATTTAGGTACTCACTTAGAACCTAGTCCTCAGGTAAGATAGGATGCAGCTTGGTTGCTGTCTTCTCTCTTACATACACAATTATGTATTAAGATGGACAAAGAGTACTGGTCATTATGCAGGAGAAAGTTAGGTGTGGAAATATGGAGACCCGTGTGGGCTTTTTGGTAAATAACATTTCGTCATATAAATGTGCCTTTTAGAATTAATGGCATTTTTTTGATGAATTAGGATAGTGTTATATGGCAGCAGTTAATTCCTCTTCTTCTCATTCCTACTTGCCTTCCCATCATCACAGACAAATTAGGTGTGCTGGCCAAATGCCTTCTAAAGAATCTTCTGTTCTTAGGTGAATTCTTTTTGTTGTTGTTGTTCTGGGAATTGAATTCAGGGCCTTTTGTATGACAAGCATATCCTCTGGGTGGTTTTAATTGCCCATTTTCTTCCTGGCCACTCCTCATTGGAGAAACGTCCAAATCTGAAGCTTCTGTTGTTTAGCAGGCAGCAGCAAGATGTGTCTGTGATGTAGGAATCCAGTAGTTGTTTTCAAGACTGATTTAAAGTTAACACCAGCTTTGGATGTATTTTGGAAAGATGGATAAGTGATAGTGAAGGTTTTGTCTGCTTCTTCGGGGTCTGTTTAAAGTCTTGGGCTACAGTGACATGGATTGAAAAAAAAAATCACACTGTTGTCGGAACTAAATTGAAGAAAACTTGAGTGCCTTATTAGTAGCAAAGATAGGAATTGAATCTAAATCTTGATGGTCTTTTAGAAACAGTACACTTTAAATTTTATGAAAAATTAATACAGATGTGAGACATCTGTAGGAATCTCTGGTAACTTGGTTCAGGCATAGGCAGGGAGGATGTGGAAGGTGAAGCGGCACTAGATTGTGACAGTTTTGAAAGTCCCCAGGGAGGACTGCAGCTAATGTAATTCTGTGATGTCTTTAACTTTATCAGCCATGATGTTAGGCATGTTCCTGTTCACTGCTCAGTCTAACAGTAGCCCAAAAGCTAGCTATTAGTATCCTTTTCTGGTGATCCCAAGTTATCAAAATCTGACCTCATGTCTTGTGTTCTTGCTTTTACCCCACACTTAAAATAATTGTTGCTAAATATAGTAATGTGTGACTTTGAAATGGCTATCAAAGAATATAGGATTAGAAACCAGACACAACCAGAATCTAATTGAGACTCTTTTCTAATTCTTTTCTACTGTGGGTATTTGTTTAATGAAATACCTCTTTGCTGCACTGCTAACCTGTGTCCTGCAGTGTTTTTGGGGAAATGTACTTTCAAACTTTGTTTTTTGTTTTGGATGTTTTGAGACAGGGTCTCACTGTGTAAACTAGGCTAGCTTAGAGTTTGCTATAATAGCCCAGGCTGGCCTCAAAATCTGTACCCTCTTGCTCCTGAGTGCTGAGATGATAGGTGTGTGTCACTATTTGTTCAATGCTTTTAAATTTTAAGACATTTTATAAGTGGAATATAGTCTTAGTCATAAAAGCCTTTAAAAAAATTTCCTTAGGGAATGATGTCATCTGAAAAGAAAAGATATGCTTAAAACTTCACTTTATAGACAGGAAACAAACATCTAATTGCCTCATATTATAGTTGAAGGCACTAAAAATTAGATAATTTGTTCAAGTTCACATAAACATGTCTTGAACTAGATCCTAGATCTCTAGATATCTCACTTAAGACTATCTTAGTTGGTGAATGCCTCATTAAATGCCCTTTTTAGTATAGCAGTCAGCTCTTAAGACTTCCTAATTATTTTAAACAAAATCCTTTTTTTTAAGCTTAAAGTCTTGAATGATTTGGCTGAAAATAGTCTGATTTTCATAATTTGTATTTTATTCTATCCACTGTTAGTGATGAAGAATCTAAATTTATGGCTTACAAAGCCAGCTGTCCTTGGAGAACAACTGTTGTCCTTTGCTATGTGTATCAGACCCTAACTGGTCTTCATCTGGGCCATGATAGAACATAGTTGATAGACCAACACTTTTGACACTCTTAATTGTTCCAGTAGCAATGTTAAAGCCTTAGTTAAGCTTAGGAAACTTAGTATTTTAAAATTTTTTCTTTTTCTCTGCAGGAACTGCTTTCCCAATTGAAGTGATATGTCCTTGTTAGCTAGGGGTAGAGTCTAAGATAGAATGTAGACCTTTGACTACTGCTTTGTGTACTTTTTACTGAGTAACACTTTAAAAATTTCTCTGTGAACATTGCCTTGTCTTCATAACCTCAGTGTGCAGTCTGGTTTGAGGTTGTTTACAACTCCCAAGTTGTGCTAGGGAACCAAGTTTGTGGGATGCAGTGTGGGGGGCAGTGAGGGTATGTGCTATGTAGTCTGAATGGTCAGGGTAGTTTGGCTGAGACTATTTTGGGACTCTGAGTATGACTGTGCCCTCCATCATCATCATTCTGGGCCACCATGGGCTAAACCCACACTGGAAAGTTCATGTGGGCTGTGGGTGGGGTCCTGGGGTATTTTTCTCTTTAAGGCTCAGGACTTTTGAGGTACATCCAACAGAATCGTCCAAACCACTCAGACAGAGAGTATTATATAGAGACTAAAGTAGGGCTAAGATGGAATTTTGTTGAGATGGTTTCTTTGAAGCATTTCAGCAGAATTTTCAAATTCATTTTAGGACCTGTGGGTTCCCTCCCTTCCTCCCTCCCTCCCTCCCTCCTTCCCTCCTTCTTTACCTCCCTCCCTCCCTCCCTCTCTCCCTCCCTTCTCTTTCTTTGAAAGAATTTAAAAATTCAGATTACTAAATAAACTGTTATGTTGTGAGGTTTCTTGGTGGCTCAAATAAGATTTTAAGACACACTGAAACCATTTCATTTATGAACTGTCTTGAAAAACTGAAACAGGAACCTTTTCCTTATGTGCCATGTTGTCAGCTGTTAATGCTCATATTTATAAATAGGTCATCTTTGTTTGAGAAAACACACAAGGTTTTCTAACTGCAAATCATTCCAGCCAGAGAAGCGCTACATTAAGCAGAACTGTCAGAGATAAAACTGGAACCAAGTGATAGTCGACTGTCCGAATGTTAACCCTTTCCTGCTGCATTTGTCTTGCAGCTATGTCTTTATCTCTGGTTGTTGCTTTTTTAAAAATGCTCCAATAAAACATAAATGAAGTTGTCTTATAAGCCAGGTGACTACAAATCCCAGTTTGCCCAGAGCAGTGCTGGAAGATGCCTATTATCTTCACATAATTACTGGTAGTTTTTTTATTTATTCTTGAAAGTGTTCCATTTGAATAGTAAATTGTCTGGTCACCTCATGTATACAGTATAATCATATTGTCATAGCAATTCTTAGTTGTTGGAATGTTATTTGAAATAGGGCCATAAATAATGGCTGTACCCCCTTTTTTTTTGTCTACACCTGGGTGTTTCTCTTTGACCAAACATTTTTATATTAAAAGAGTTCTGAGTGTCTCAATGTAGTATATTGAACAAGAAAGCACATTATGTAAAGTTTAGAAGCATTTATTTGCTGTCTGATTTTTGGAAGGTTATATAATCTTGCTGAATCTTTTCCTAGCAATTCTTTCCTAGTCTGTTAAACAGAGATAATAATAACGCCTTCCCTATTATTGTTGAGTTGTGGGGATTTAAAAAGGAGCTCACATGGTGGAAGGAGAGAGCCTATTCCTGCAAATTGTCCTCTGACCCCCACACAAGTAGCATGCGCGCACGCGCGCGCTTGCGCGCGCGCACACACACACACACACACACACACACACACAGAATAAATAAATATACAAAACCAGTTTTATATAGCTTAGAGGAATTTGCTATTTAGTGGAGCATTTATTATTTCTTAGAACTGTTTTACTGTTAGGAGAGCAGGGATATAATAGAGGAGCTGGAAATACATGCTGGAAATGAAGATTTGGGGGGCCTGGGGTTGAAATACCAACATGTTTGTGTGTTGAAAAAGAATGTCCCAATAAGAAATGAAACAAAACAAAACAGATAATGCTGGTCAGAGATGAATTATTCTAGAATATGCAAACAAAGATAATTCTAC